GGAAGTAAAAACCCTAGTACGTGTGTTTTGAAGAAAAACGGCGCGAACCGGCGGGTCCCGCGCATTACCGATTGAACGCACCAATTGACCACCACTTTCTTACCATACAAGTTTATTGATATTTGAGCAAAATATCCTCTTAATTGTCAGTTTGTTTGACCGAAAATTAGAGGCTAGAAATAGCAAGGAAAGAAAGAGAAAAATGAAAGGTGGAGGTGGCGACACTTGTCGCCATCCTTGAGTTTCTTGGCCAAGTGAGCAACTAACCTTCTTAAACCAATTTTCTGCACTTTCCCTTCATTATTTTTGCTGCTGGCCAACCAAAAGAGAGAGAGAGAAAGGGAGAGCAAAAGAAAATTTCTTTCTTCTTGAATCTTAGCTAAACCAAGTGAGAAAATCAAATTTCCAAACCGATCAAAGTGCTAATTGTGAGTTGGGAAGCTAGGGGAACCAGAAATTTTCCAAGGGGGTTGATTATCACTCATCCAAGCTTGTCTTTGAGGTATGAAATTTGGTCATGGTCTTTGATCTTTTGAATCTTGTGTAAATTAGCTTAGCAACTCAAATTTGGTGGTGAATAATGGATGCTATCATGTTTTGGGGGTTTTCTTCTTTAGATTATATGAACTAGAGTTTGATGATTTGCTGCCCAACTTGGTGTATGGTTAATCTATGTTGTAATTAAGGTTATATAAGGGGTTTTGGTAGTGTTGGAAGTAAGAAATCAAGGAAGGTTGCATTGAAAATTCCAGAACCTGGAAAATTTTTCCCTCTTTTCTGTCTGATTTTGTAACCCTATGTTAGAGGCCGAATTAGCCTTAGGTCAAAACATAAAAGTTGTAGGGAATGACATTTTAGAGGTGCCTGCAAAATTTCAGATCAATCGGAGTAGCGTAGAATGAGAAAAGACGGATTTACCCTTGCTGTCCTGTTTCTACCCGAACCTGAGAACTGCGATTGTAATTGGGTATTTTGGTTTGGAATGCTTCAGAATTGGTTGTTCTTGTCTTCTAATGAAATGTAGCCCTGTTTCTAAGTTTTCATATGGCTTTGAAATTTCTGAATTTTGACTTATGTAGGCTGTGTTATGATGTTTGTACTAGAATACGGTTTGTGAACCTGTTTTACGATTCTGGTGTAGTATGTTACATTTTTGACGTAGTTACACTCGAAATTGGGCTGAGTGACCTTCTGCAATATTCTAGCCCCTTAAGTCCTGAGTATTCTTGTAAAATTTCAGGTCAAACGGATTAGGGTATTATGAGTTATAGATGAAATACTCAAGCCTATTTTGAACATCAGGTTCTGTGCGTTTTTAGTTTAGCTTCTGCCCGTGACTTTTTCGGTTTTGATACCGTACGATCTGGGTGGTGACTCCTTCATAAGAAATATAAATCTTGGTTTTGGCTTCGAAACGGTATAAAGTGCGTCGAAATCCGAGTTCCGTAGCTTCCGTTATGACCCAAACAAGATCAATTGTCAGAACTGCCTTTGAATCTGGACAGTTCTGACGGGTACTTTGATACTCAAATTTCGTTCTGTTCTGAGTGGATTCAGGTCTTGTCCAAAACATCAAAGTTTTAGTCTTAGGTCTCAGCTTTCTAATGCCTTTGGAATTTCCTGATTTGGATTTGTGAGCTGGGAGTTATGGTCCAGCAAACAACCCTGTTCGTCACCCTAAGACGTAAATTTCTGGTATTGTTTTCTACAATTTTGACCTGCTTCCATTCAGATCTAGATTAAAGTTTCTTCAGGAGATTTGTAGCCCTTTCTCATAGCTTCAAAACAGTATCTCGTTCACTTTGATCTGACTTTCCTAGCCTAATCTTTGATCAAAACGGTTTGAGATGGCAGATTTGGCCGTTTCCTTTTGCCGTTCCGCGCACTTGCATGTGCCAATTTTGCCGTTTTCGTACTTGAGTGTGTCGGCTTTTGCCGTTTTGCTTGTTTTAAATATGTTAGTAGCCGTTTGTGATATATTGTGACACAATCTTCTATTTCAGATGGTGGTGAGGTAGGTGGAGCCGGTGGGGCCTACTACCTACTTTTCGCGATGTGAATTTTGTCCTTTTGTTATCCTTGTTCGTTGAGTAAGTATTCAGGCCGCTCTTGTGTGTTAGTTGCTTATGTGTTTCGATATGTATGAAGAGGGTACTTAGGCGAGGGTGTACTTTATCGCACTTGACCTAAACCCTAAAATTTGCGCACATATTTGTACATGACTTGTGTATATGAGCAATTTTGAAACTAAAACCCTTGAACTTGTAGCTCAAGGTAACTTTTGAATAATTTTGTGCAATTTGTGAGTTTGGGGCTGATCTCAATACCTCGATGGACTATTCGAGCCGGTTAGGGGTTGGTCGAAGTCAGTCCAACTTGGTTTGAGGTCACCAAGTTTGTGAATCCGGTTCACCGAGTTGTGAACTAAGTTTGTGACCCGAGCTTGTGACTCAAACTCAAGTTTGTGATTTCGTTCGCCCAGGCAAGTTTGTGAGGTGACTGGCCAGTGAGGGTGATAAGGTGTTCGGTGGGTGTACAAGTGGAGTTCTACGGACCTTAATTGTGGTCGACGGAGTGTCGAAAGGAGGTCACGCATGGCACATGAATTGGCTTTGGAGCCACCCGTATCCTTACTATTGAATGTTATTTTTCTGCTTTTGCTTTACTCTTACTGTGTAACTGTTGTTACGTGAAATTTACGCTTTTGCCCCTATTTACTTACTAAGCATATAGCTTACCCCTTTCCTTTTGTTTTCCTTAGCAGGGGCCGACGCGAGGACTTTTGGCACATACACTAGTATAGTTAGATTTGCTTGTAATAGTTGGACAATTAGGATGTTTGTTTTTGTTGTGGTGGTTTGTATAAGGACCCTCCTTAGGGTCTACATTTTGGTTTTGGGTTGTAATTATAAGGATGTAATAGTATGAGCAGGCACTTTTGGGGAATGTAATTATAACTCTTTTGGGATTGTATTTAGTATGTATAGTACACTTTTGGATTTTCTGGCTTTTATTGTTTTAAGTTTTGAACCCTGGCGTGAGCTAGGCAGGCGGCCCGCCGATACCCTTGGGTTCGCCTTTGGGAGAAGTGGGGTCGTCACAATTTCCTTCTACTTCTTGAGGAAATAAGAATTCCTTCTAAAGAGATGATTATGCCAAAAATGACTTCATGCTGCATTTCTTTCTACTTCTTGAGGGAATCATGTGTTGTCTATTGATATCAAAATCTTGCTTCATAGCCTCACATGATCTAATGAATCGAGTCAAAATTCCTAAAGTTGAGCGTGTTCATTAAGACTTTCAACCACCAAACAACACATGATTATGGTCACAAGAAAGATGAAGATCAAGACTAAAAAAATATCAAATAAGTAAACCAGCAACAGAACCACATAATTCACCAATAATGATTTCTACACTCTAAGAGATTTTTCTTTTTCTTTTTCTCTTTTCCTTCTCTTTTCCAAGCATAGCACTTACTGCCCACATAAGCTTATCGTGAAAATTACATCATATAAAAGAAAAAAGGTAAACGAAAAATGAAACACACATGCACACGATTCTAGGAAATATCACAAGTTAAAAATTTGTGGAAAGTTATTGGAAAGAAAAGTGAATAAAAAATGAAACATGGAAACACATATGACAGAATTACACGATTCTTGAAAATTATTAGAGAAATTTAAAAAAATAAAATTTTAAAATTCACAAGCTTATAATAAAAAAGATTAAATCTTATATATACTAATAATGTATACATTATCACTGTTGAATTTATAACATATGTGCGAAAGTTGAATTTCAAATTTAAATTTGCACATATGTCATGGATCTAATGGTGTTGGTCGATTCAAATTTCATATAATTGTCATTCTTCCAATGTTGACAGTATATACATTGTCAATGAAGAAAAGATTAATCCAATAAAAAATTGATAATTTCAAAAAAAATTGACTTGAATTTTTTCCTTGGATAAAAAACCACGATATTTGTCAAAAATCTTGTAACCATTGAAAGAGAAAGAATATGATAATACTGAAAAATTATTAAAAATTAAAAATTTACTGCAAAATTCCAAATATCATAACCTAATGAAAGAAAAAAAATAGAAAAACAAAATTTCACCTGGTTTCCATATTAGATTTGATTTCTTTACTCTTTCCTCCCCTTCCTTCAAACACCAAAACACACTTTTCTCACACATTTGAACTAACTGAATCAAGAATGAAAATCCAAAAAATGAAGAAAATCAGAATCACAATTGGAAAAAAGCATTCAAATTGGGTCCAATTTGAATTAAACTTTTGGAAGAAATGAATAAAATTGAAGACCTAGTGTGTGTCTTTGTGTGTGTATGCATGTTGATTGTGAGTAACTTTTGAGTGAATAATAGCAATATATATAGAGATTTCTTGGAGATTTCTCCAGAGAAAAGCATTTTAAAAAAAATTTTCCACTCTTCAATTTTTTTCTCTAAGAAAAAAAGCGGTCATATTTTTTTTTTTTTTAAATCTCCAGAGGCATAACAATTTTCTTTTTTATTTTTCGAATTCTTCATTCTTCAATTTCGCCAATCAGAATAAACGGCCAATTTTTCAGAATTCTTCAATGTTTTTAAAATCTCCACCGCTCTATTTTATTTTTATATTCTAGTTTTTTTTTATTTTTTTCCCTGGTTTTAATTTCCCTTTTTTTTGTTTTCTGGACTTTCCTATATAAGTAAGGTCCCCAATGGTGTTTGTGAAAGGGATGGGCCGTGTGGAAAATCAGGATTAAGCCTTTGGCCCAATTGTTATGATACTAGCTTTGGAATGGTTTCCACAATTTTTTTTTTTTGAAGATTTTGTTTTTGTGCCATTCTCAGATTGGACTCCATTCCTTTCTTTAGGCCCATAGGCTACTACCCCTTCCCTCCATAATTGGTGCCTTACTAGATTCAAAAAAGCTATAAAAAATTATGAAGGAAAAATCATTCAGCTACACCCCCTTGAGTCCTTGACCAATCCATCCCACCGCCGGCGACCGCACTGGCCACCGGCGACCAGACGCTACAAGTTCAATTGGGCAACCTCCTTCTCAATGGCCTCCGGCCCCAACTTCTCCAATCCAACCAAGAGGAAGAAGAATATCTCATCTTCACAACCCCTAAAACTTTGCAAACCCAAAATCTCTGCCGATGATGACGATTTTCAAGACCCTTCCCCCTCTCTTTCCGTAATCAGCTCCAGTTCCACCTTAAAGCAAAACCCTTTTAAGCACTTGAATAGTTCTGATCTTCCCTTGCCCAAAATGGTCAAGAACACGGAGCAAAAGATCAATCCCGGGAAAGAAAACATTTGGATATCATCAAATCCATCCGGGCCTTCATTTTTTCGAGAAGATGATAAGACTATCGACGAATTTGAGCTGGATTTGGCCGACAGCTGTGGGTTGGATTCGATTGAGTCCACCTTAGATTGTCAGGCAAATGGGAAATTGAAGAACAATGAGGAAAGAAAAGAGTCTGGGTTGGAAGAAAGTGGAAAGGGGCAGTGGGGAGGTAATGAGTATAAGGAAGAATCTGAAGGGGGAACGGCGCATCTGGATTTGTTGCTCAAGTTATGTGATGTTGATTCTGACCAGGATGTGGAATGCTCTGAAAAAGTTTCTACTTGTAGTGATGATGGCTTGGATTTTCGTGAGGCTTGTGGCTTTGAGGAAGAGGAAGTGGACGAAAGATTGATTTGTTGTCCACTTTGTGGAAATGATATTTCCGGGTTGAGTGATGAGTTAAGGCAAGTTCACACAAATGAGTGCCTTGATAAAGGTGAGACAGCAAATGAGGTATCTTTCTAGTCTGGTTTCCTCTGCTTCATCTTTGATTTCATTTTTAACGTGGATATTATGTGGTGGTTGATAATTCTCTGGAATTTCAATACTAGTTACTAATTCTTATTTACAAAACAAAATGAATTTCGATTTTTCCTTGCATGGTGATACATTAGCAATGGTAGCAGGAAAAAATCCACAACGCTTTTAGCGAGTTATTCATTCTTTAAGGCTTTTTGCCAGGTGAGATGCTAATAAGATGTCAAAATTGTATTTTTTTTTTTTTTTGCTATTATTTGTTGAGGCAGTGAATATTGAATGTATTTGATGAAGGCTGTTTAATAAAAGTTACGCTGGTAGATTGTTAATCTTTGTCTTAGTTTGTTGATTTTATTGGAAGTGGTTGTCATCTAAATATTTTGGGATTGTTTTTAATAGCTTCTGATTACAGAAAAGGTCTATGATTGAAATTTTTTTGAAAGACTAAAAGTATGCCTTTGTTACAGAATTTGAGAAATCAAGAGAAGGCTACTCATATTGTTCCTTTTGGTGTTGCATGCCCGAGTGTAATTAGAATAAATGTTGTAAAATGAGGCGAATTTATAGATCTGATACTTGACTACCTTTCATTCCCCTAATCCGTTGCTTGGTTGAACAAAATGCTGCTAGGTGATAGGTGATGTCATTATCTCTTTTTTTTTTTAAGCGACTGTCATGGGAAATGTGAGGTCGCAAAATTAATTTATGACAAGATCACGGTGTTGCATTTGCCAGGCGGCCGCGGTTCCTCCCCATGATTCCACAGCTTATCACTGTCTTGGGCAAGTTCTTGATGGCTCTCCACGCCAATCTTCTAGGAAAGTTGTAGCTGCGTTTCCCGTATTGGAATGGCTACACAACCTGGGCCTTGCTAAATATGAAGAAATTTTTGTGCGAGAAGAGATTGATTGGGATACTCTGAAGCGGCTGACCGAGGAGGTGTGTTTACTCTTACTAATCAAAACCTGCCTCTTCACTGTGTGCAAAATAATTTATTTGGTTGCAGATGCAGGTATGGTAGTAGGATTTACTACTTACTTTGCCTGCCCAGAAAAATTTTACACAAAGATTTTGAAAAACAATGATTTATGTGATTTAACTCTTTGATATCATCTTAAGCAGGTAAAGAATGTAGTTTATTTGGCATCCTAAAGAGGAAAAGATCAAACTTGACCTGTGATTATTAGCTTTAGGATTTTATCTGGACAGGGTTGACTCTGTGCTCTTTCCCAATGTGGAATTAAATTCTCAGACCTTTGTTTCAAAATCCTTGGAGTTTATTTTCAGTGGGATCCAACTCTGTAATGCGGTCAACCGTGTTTGTTACTGCATGATTTGTCACTTACAAATCAGCTGTATGTTTAGTCTATTTGGACAAAGAATTGGACTTGGTCGTCCTGTTTTATACTTCCAAATTTCTGGAAGTACAATCTTTCTGGAGCTTTGTTGGCCAATTTAAATTGTTTATTCTCTAGATGTGAGATGTGATCAACATGATCTTAAGCATTGGCCATTACAGCCATTGCATAAAAAATTATGATCTTGAGAAATTTTTTAAGCTTAATTTCCTTGGCAATTTAGCAGCCTGTTTTCTCTTTTTCTTGAGTTCTTTTTTTTTTTTGGTATTTTTGAATAAATTATTGGTTATACTTATTACATTACATAAGCGGCCGTGTCTTCGATCTAAGCTCTTCCTGACGTGTCTTCGATCTAAGCTCTTCCTGACTGTAGGATCTTTGCAGCATTGGTGTTACTGCACTTGGTCCAAGGAAAAAGCTCGTTCATGCTCTTGCTGAGCTAAAAAGGCATGAGGGCAACCCAGTGGAAACCCCCGATATCCAAAATGTAGTTGTTGATGAAAGAAACAAACTTGCTACAAACAAGTTGATAACGGACTATTTTCCAGGTTCTGTTGCTAGGAGAAAGAGAGATTGCATTAGTGCCAAAGAACAGAAGGAGACACTTAAAAGTCACCCAAGTTCTGCTTCGAGGAGTCAACAGAAGAAAAATCGCATAAATAATGTAAAACACAAGACAGTTCCCACTTGGTGTTGCATTCCAGGAACACCATTCCGTGTTGTAAGTAGTCTGGCATTTTCTCTTGGACTGATTAATACTCTCTCCTGTGCTTAGGTTGTTTGAACCCTAATTTTTCACTGGTTAATGTGATGTCATTAGATTTCATTATACAAGGTGCATGACAATGAGCAGAATATAGGTGAAATGATTCAAAATCAAGTCCAGTGTTGAGATTTCACTTGAAGGATGGGGCTAACTAATGTTTCTCTGCATGGTTCTTTGCTTAATCAACTTCAATTCAGATATTTTATACTACAAACTATTACCCGGCTTAAACATGCTCCCACTAGCTCCATTTTACAGTATTCTACTAATTACTGGCTTACAGTTGCTGGGGTTATAAAAATTTCAATGATATCTGCCTGAAAATAAAAAAAAAAGGATTCCCTTCATGAAGTTCTTTCTGCATAAGTTTTAGTCCTGATGAGTCATTTATGCTATTTAACATGTTTATGTTTTTAGTTGCATGATTTATTTCAAGATTGGCTTGTGTCACATTATTCCTTAAGCAACTCATCTGTAGCTTGGAGTAGTGATACATGAAATATGGTTCCACATTTTACTTCCTGGCCAGCTTCAGTTGAATCTCATCTTTTCTCTTTATTGCAGGATGCATTCAAATATCTAAGAAGAGAATGTTCTCATTGGTTTCTTACTCACTTCCATATGGATCGTAAGTATAGTTTCATGCATTTATGTTGTTACTTTAGGATGATGACCTTGAGAAAGTTACTTTTCCTGCTAAGTAGTGTATGATGTTTATTCTAATGCTGAATCAGTTAGAAGAGTTTAATAATGGTGCAGTTTTCTTGATCGTGATGATTTATTTATTACTGCTGAATTTGCATATTGGTTTATGCACATTTCTATACTCATACAAGCATGTAATTTTTCATTACCAATTTCTCAAGAAGAAGATATCCAGATTTCGCTATTTTACTTAATGAATTGTACCAGTGTTGCATGATTCTGTGTAAAAGGTTTAAATTGCTCTAGGCATATCTTATTTAGAAACCTAAAATTCAAGTTATTGTTGGGCTCAATTTAACTTATTTGTCTCTCTATCAATTGTCTGTCAATGTCTTCCTCATGTAATGAAGGATAATTGCCATCTAGATCTATTTTAGGCTTTTATTAGTTTTCATGTTGAGTTTTTTGGTGAATTTTGGAATATCATATTCTGTTGTCATAATTTAATCTTTACCTGGTGTTGAATAGTGTAATAGCTTCTTGCATGGGTATGTGTTATTGTTAGTCTAGATCAGTAGCTTTGTCATTTCTAGAACAGATCATTCCTTTTGTCACCTCTTTTTTCTTCTTTGTTATTTAAGCATTTAAATTCCTTCATCTTTGCAGATTATCAAGGTTTGACGAGGTCCTTTTGTCATGGGAAGATATATTGTTCATCGATTACAGCAAAGCTTGTCAACATGAAACTTGGAATTTCTTGGGACAAATTGCAAGTTTTGCCCCTTAACCAGAAGATCAATATTGCAGGGATTGCTGTCACGTGTTTTGATGCAAATCACTGTCCAGGTGCCATCATAATTCTATTTGAACCACCCAATAATAAGGTGCGACCCAAAATATATTTATGATTTTGACAGCATATTCCGCTAATGACCATGTCCTAGTTTCCTAGACTGATGGCCCGCATCTTTCATGCACCTAGGCTGTACTGCACACTGGAGATTTTCGTTTCGGTGAGGAAATGGCAAAAATTCCAATTCTGCAGACATGTCCTATCCATACACTCATTCTCGACACCACATACTGTGACCCCCAGGTAATCTCCCTTATGAAATATTACAACTCTAGATTTCAGTTGCTGTGGTATGAGATGCAAGCTAATAGCTCAATATATTCTTTTCATTTTTTTTCTTTTTCCGATGAACTTGAAACTCCCATTAAAACAGTCAAAGCAGTAAGCACAACCATGAATGTTAATATGGGTGGTATACATGTACAATTATTTTTGTGATTCATGGTATTCACAAGCAATAAACTGCAGCTTCAATATCTAAAAGATAAATTGTCACTAAGCTAATGTCAACCCGATTAACTTGCTCATGGTACGTGGATCCTAATTCTTGTACAAATACTTGCATTTCATAAAACGTTACTGTCTCAAGTTGCTTCTCTGTTTTATGTTAAATTATTAATGTTGTCAAGGTTGTTTGCTATCCTTGCAGTATGACTTTCCAAAACAGGAGGCTGTAATTCAGTTTGTGATTGAGGCCATCCAAGCCGAGGCTTTTAACCCCAAAACTTTATTTTTGATTGGCAGCTATACCATTGGTACAGTTTTCTGTCAACCTATTGTTCTGCACCTAAATTTGTTGTCGGTCATCTTCTGCTTAACCATAACTATTACCGTCATCATTTTCATATTTCAATCTTCCTCAGTTTTTGCTTTTCTGATTGTGTTTTACCGACAGGCAAGGAAAGGTTGTTTTTAGAGATTGCTCGTGTTCTTCGCAAAAAAGTCTATGTCAGTGCCGCAAAATTGCGTCTGCTTGAATGCCTCGAGTTTCCAAAGGAAGATGCACAGTGGTTTACTTTAAATGAACACGAAAGCCACATTCATGTGGTGCCCATGTGGACGCTTGCAAGCTTCAAGAGATTGAAGTATATAGCAAATCAATATGCAGTAAGCTCACAATGAATCTTTTTCTCATTTTACAGATACTCAGGGTGCATGGCTTGATACGGTATCTTATCTGAAAGTTTCCATTGGAACCTCAAATGAACCTACAACAAAATATAACCAATTTTGGAACTGTGTAGCCTTGATCAAAGTGATAGCGGTATGTAGTTTATGGGGCAGGTGGGAACTTTACACAGCAAAAATAAGAGAAGATTACATGAGACCCTTGCTATATTGGTACAACAGCTACTGTTAATCCATGGCCATCTGAGTTGCTTATGCAAATAGGGAACTAGATGCAAATATATCTTACCTTTCTGTTTCCTTGGTGTTTTTCCGGTTTCTGCAAGTCTCTTCATTAAAAACACCAAGGAAACAGAACGGTTAGGTATCTTTGTACATAAGTTGGCTGGTCATAAATCCTGGAATATGGTATGTTGGGTAAATTGCATTTGTCCATTTAGGGCTTTCCAAATTCTATTTCCAGATGTCCTAGATCCATGCTTGAAAATAACATGTTGGACAGCTCAAGTAATTAAAGTTCGAAACTGTCAGCTGTTTACTTGTTACCGAGAACTTTTAACAACTTCAACAACATTCCATTGTTATCCTGAATTGGTATTTCTCTTCTTTGTAGCATCTTTGCTACATTAAGTCCTTCTTTACATGCTTTGTTTACTAAGGAAGTCTCTTTAACCATTAATGAAGAGGCAAAAAGTGACAACAGTTCAAATCAAAATAAACAGTCAGCTTCAGAAATATTTTTTTTCTGTGTAAATATTTGACATTGTTTGTATAGGAGAAAATTTATGGACATGTGCATTCAGATAATTGTCACTTCTTTGGCGAATTTATTCTTTCAATTGTTTGTCGCTAGAAACTTTTATTTACTTTCTTTCTTCACTGTCTCTGCTATAGGCGTGCCATAAGTGAAAATGAACCTATCACAATGTAAGATGGAAACATTTATTAGATACAAGTTTGACCATTGACATGTGAGATTAGCTTATATTAGTTTACTTAATAATGTACTTTCTGTAATTTGATTTGGCGTTAGTGGTGTAGTTGATGTTCTGTTGGATGATTTTCTTTGGAATTATTTGACTTCGTCATTTACCAAGGGAAACCAGATACTTCTGGGTGGCTCTTTGTGTTCCATTTGATTCGTGACTGCTCCAGAGTACAGTTTCGCATCTATTTTTGTTGTATACATGTCCTCTTACAAGAAGGCATATCAGCAGCATGCCATTGTTCTGCTCTTATAAGTACATTTTCTAGTGACTAATTGTGACACTGATGCTAGTTTGAGAATTAAAAAAAAAATCCTTTTGTTTCCTCTTTAGATTTCTTATGTTTTTAAATCTTTTTCATTGTTTTTGTCATTTATTTTTAATTTTTGGCAATATATTAATTTCTATTATCCCTTTTTCTTCTTTAGGGTCGATTCAATCTAATAGTAGCTTTTTCTCCAACTGGCTGGACGTTTTCTAAAGGAAAGAAGAAGTCTCCTGGAAGAAGGTGGCAGCAGGGTACCATCATAAGGTCAGTCTAGTAATAAACTATTATTTGGCCTTCTTCTTTTGCAATTTAGTTTTGCACGAGTTGTATACATTATAAGTTGGGGATATACCTTGGTCTGGGAATCTGTAACACTTCAGAGTTGGTTACCAGATCATCAGATTTGGTATTTAATCTGTTAGACCAAAGTAAAACATCTCAATTATGGATGGATTTTATATCTGGAAATGTAGCTGATTCTGACATTTAGTCAAAAGAGTAGCATTTATTAATGCATCGAGGAAACTGCAAGTTTTCACTGAGAAAATTCAGTCTTTCAATTACCGATACATATCCTACCACTAGGATCTGCAATTTCCTTCCTTTTTCTGGTGCACACCTGCAGAGGGCTAATTACATCACTTAGTCTCCATTGTTTGAAATATATGGCAATTAGAAGAACTTCTAAATCTTGTAACTGTTCACTTTCTTCCATTGTCATTCAAGTCACAACAAACGTTGGTCGATAGCAAATTTTTACTTCAGTCTAAAATGGTTCAAGGACATCTTCCTGTCAACTTTACCAGCTAATATCATCAGAATATGAATGTGAAGAGCAAGACAGGTTCTATTCATGGTCAAAAATCTGCACAGTAGTGGGTCAAGTGACTAAGATGATGCTTTTGACTTCGTAACTGCTGATTTCTGATTAAAATTTTCCTCCTCAGTTACGTTTTCTCTGATAAGAGGTCCTAACAAATTGACATTTTGGGTAAAAGAAAAACTTTCTTAATTTTGGGGATGCCTGGCTTCTTTTTAAGAGCATTTCTCTGATAAGAGAGGAATCAGGACTTTGATGTACTTTTTGGCGGAATAGGTGCAAAGTGGGACTTCCAATATTGTTCAATTTATGAGTTGGTTTGTGACAGACAATAAGAGAATAATGGTAAATAACCACACAGTGTTTTCTAGTCCTTAGCTAATTTTGCATCTTCAAACAGTCAAAATAGGTTCCATGGTTTGCCCATATCACAAATTTAGAAGTTAGTATGACAAATTAAATCCCAACACACCCTTTATATACTGGAATTGTGAACCGTACTGCTATTGATTACTTGTGTAATTTCAAATTTGGCTTATGGATATTAACATAACTCATATTTTCACCCCTTTTATTATACTGGCAGTTTTATGACCAGCATATTATATCACACAGGGTAAACTGCAGTCACCAAGTGCAAGGATAATAGTCCTAAAACTTGAGTGGAATCTGTTAAACTTTCTTTAGGTTTTTATTGACAAAGAAAATGTTCCTTTATCTATTTTTCGGCTATTTGACAGTCCACAGTGCTGGTTTGATACATTGAGGCTGACTCGTATAATCTGAAGAACAAAAAAATTCTAATCCTGCTGGATATATTTAGTATTGTGCTGGTTTTTAAGACGAATCATGCTTGAAAATGCCATCCATACCTTGTGGTCATTTTGAACTGTTTCACAAATTCAGATGGGGCATGAAAATTTTGTACCTTCTTGGTCCTGTAACAAACTGCTCTGTACCTGAAACTCATTAAGGCTTTATCCTCATCTTCAGGTATGAAGTACCATATAGTGAGCATTGCAGCTTTTCGGAACTCAGAGACTTTGTCAAGTTTATATCTCCTGCAAACATCATACCAAGCGTAAACAATCATGGACCAGAATCCACTAGGACAATGGTTTCCCACCTCTTGGCTTAAGCTGCTGGCAAATCAGTCTGAGGTGAATGATGGATGTCTAGCACATATAGATATCAGGTGATAGATATATTTGCAATTCTTTTGTACTTAGTTCGCTGTATTATCTCATGTTGTTCTTCCTCCTCATGTTTAGTTCAGTGCTTTGTATAGAGAATATGGAGGTGGTACTAATAGTTTCTTGCAATATGTGCACTGTAGATACAGAATATACTTTTTTTTTGTGGACGACACAGGGGATATCTAGACTTTCGGCTTGACTAATCCCCCTGCGGCTCCGAGCACGATAACCACGGGACTCTAACACTGATCAATGCCTTAAAGAAGGACTACATGACCGGTCGAGCTACCCAACGGGACAGATAAAGAACATGCATGCACGGCAATAATTTTGTATGTATGCAATGGTGCAATATGATATCTTTCCTTTTTCGACCTTTTATTTTGTTTAGTTTTTTTTTTTAATTGGGAAGCGTTGGGCTCTAAAAGTTTATTAGCACTCTTTTGGTTGAACCTTTTCTGCGCGTTTGTTGTGTGAGTCCATTCATTAATCACTTGTTTTTCTCATTTTAGATGGGTGATTAGATACGAAAACTTTAATAACCACCAATAACTGTCACTAATTTCTCATTTTCCATCAAACTTTTTCTTGATAACCAAACGTAAGCCAGAAAACAATCTTCAGTTTTTTTTTTTTTTTTTTTTTAACTTCACTTTCCTGCATTTTACTTTCCCACGCAACTTCCTCTCTATTCAAAACAACGTTTGAAACCAAGGTGATTTGGGGTGTTGAAGGTTCATTGTTGCTTCTGCAGCTACTGCACCTAAAAGAGTTGGACATTTAAAAAACGTTGAATACTGTATGTTTGTAGTCCAAAACTTTTGCTTGGACATTTAACATCAACACCTAATATGGCTTGGATTTGGGTCTCTGCTCAAATGGTCAAATAAACTTCACACTCAGAATTTATGATTTTGGGGGGATCAATTTGAATATTTTCCTCGTGTACTAGTTCTTTTAGCAGTGAAAACTTGTCACAAGAAATATTACCCCCCCCCCCTCCCCTCCAAAAAAAAAGAAGAAGAAGCATGAAAAATGAAAAATGAAAAAATTATTGTGTAATGATGAACCTCTGTTGAGGAGCACACTTTGTCCTTCAAGCCATTCTTAAATAATTTTTTTGAGGGTTATTGTTTCTCCTCGAAATAGAGACCCACTAACTAGTATTCAATAGAATAGGGTCGGATGAGCAAGTACCCAATATGAAAATGCACTTGAAGATAAAAAAAAAAAAAATTAAGAACATTTATCACTACAAAATTTCTCAAATAAAGAATAGAGAATAAAAAAATTGTAATATGGTAAAAAGAATGTGATGAATATATACATATATATATACACACACATGAAAATGGCTGTCATAGAAAATGCATAATTATACAATCATCTCAAAACATATCTAGAATTTGTATATTTGCAGTGTAGGTGGGTACTCTCGAGTCGCCAAATTGTGACATGTACTTGACATGATATTGAAAAAAAACTCTACCCATCAATTCTTGCTACCTTCTCTCTACCGTTCTTTCTCCATAGGAGGGAGATCTTACGGAGATCTTGGCTTTAAATCAATGTCTCCCTTCCTCTTCATCTATTTTAATTTTATGTTTAATAAAATCTTTTCTAAGGTATCTTAATGAAAGTTTTGTCTTTCCTAGTATTTTACTAGTGAGAGTTTTCTTCTCTTCTAGGCTATGATAGTGGAGGTTTTGTTTAATCTTTGTTTATTTATTTATTTATTTATTTACTTTGGAGATCTAAGAGTTTTTTCATATCTATATGTTAGATCTGAAATTTCTTGACTCTTCTCATCAGATTTTGAACTTGAACCAGTTGGATATCAGATCTAAGGGAATAGACATACACAGATATCTATTGAGCAGTTCGTACAATTGGTCAAATATGATGTTTTGTAATTTACAGTGTAATCTTTTATATTTTTATAACTCTATTATATTTGATAATTTTTCATATCAAATATATATGTGACATGTTTGTTTTATGTATTTTTTGTCCTCAGTATAAATTGCTTTATCAAGCAAATCGTGATGGACGATTTTCAATTAATTTATTAATAATATTGGCTTCTATCTTATATTAAAAAAAAAAAAAAAATCACCCGAGGTCCTCCTTCAATCAATATATGTAGATTTATTATTATTCTTGGCCCAAATCAAGTAGGGCCTTGCAGATTTTCTCAGTTTTTTTTTTTTTTGCCCTCCTCACTGTTGACTTCACATTTTATTACATTTTTTGTTCTTCCATCCAAAAAAAAAAGGTGTTGCCTTCACAATTTAGTCACTTATTGACCATTGACCCGGCATTGTTGTGTTCACAATGCCTACCGTAGTCTTCATTAAACATCCTTTGCTGCTCTGTCTCCGCGGCAAAATACCTGACTAAATCGGAAGAATTTGACCATTAGCCTAAAGCATAATAGGTCAACTTAATAGAAAGCAACAAGATAATTGACCGGTTGATTAATTAATTAATTTCGGTCGACTAGGTGGACTCAACATAAAATAAAAAGATACGTGATTGGTCAACTTAATACCAAACAAAAGACAAGTGGTTGTTTAGTGCGCCATCATGCCATGATAAGGGATCACTTTCTCATTTGCTCTTCTACCAAATTCTTTTTTTTTTTTTCTATTAAAAAGAACACTTTCGGATTGTTGTGAACTTTTCTTCTTAAATTTGAATGATTTCTTTGTGTTCCATAGCATATACCTTTCCTAACTGCCATGATAAGGGATCACTTTCTCATAATCTCATTTGCTTCTCTATCATATTCTTTTTTTATTCTATTAAAAAGATCACTTTTCCGATTGTTGTGAACTTTTCTCCTCGAATTTGAATGATTTCTTTGTGTTCCATAGTCTATACCTTTCCTAGCTAACTCGCGTTAGGGGAGTTGGCTATCAAGTGAAGCATAAGATACAGATCTAACTGTAGATCAGGAATTCAAACTTCTGCACCTACAATAAAATTCAAATGGTGTATAGTAGCGTAACCCCTTTGATCTAAAGGTGGGACTCACTCTCTGTAATCTTCTTTGATCAGTTGAACCCTTCCCTAAAGATGTTCAAGATATTTAGAATGCTATCAGGCAAAATTTGGAGTCGATGAATGCTAAGTTCAAGACAACAGTTGATAAGCATCAGCAGGCTACTGTGTTTGAAGAAGGTGATATGGTGATGGTGTATTTATGAGCAAATGTTTTCTAGTTGGTACTTATGGCAAGTTGCAGCCACGGAAGTATGGTTCCTTCAAAATCTCACGATGCAGAAATCCTAATGCCTATGTGGTGGACTTGCCCGAGTTGCTTGATATTTCCCCAACTTTCAAATGTTTCTGACTTGTCCTTGTATCATTCATTGGACATGCCAATGTATCCAAATGTGCCTATTAACTTGAGGGCTAGTTCCTTCCAGTTAGATGGGACTGATGCGGCAGCTTGAAAATGCAAATTGGAGTAGGATGGATGGCGCAAAAAAAAAAAAAAATCTCGGATAAAACTGAATCTAGTCAAGTCGGGCGCCCGAATAAGCGCCAGTTATAGGGCCCAACGTTGTCAGGTTCACCTGTCCAATTTATAGAGTCAGATTATGATGGTGCGCCAATAGTTGGACGCGGGACTGGAGCGGTTGTTCTGACAACCGATCCGGAAGGTGTAACATTATTTGTACATGGTGTAACATCATCTGTACAAGGTGTAACAATAGAACAACAACGAATAACATTAGAACAACATTTTTGTGGGCCCCACACGGCGTGAAAATCGAGTTACAAGACGTGATTTGAGCCGCACAAATTTTTGAGGGCTCATCCAGGCCGTGAACTGTCTGACAACCGTCCAGGTCCCTCGTCCCCAATCGTTGAATCCAACATAGGACCCACTATTACCTGATGTACTCATTTTATTTTATTTTATTTTGGCTAATAAACATTGTCCCTGTAAATAAGCCAACCCTAAGATGTTTTCATAATGCCTTCATCATTTTTATCAAACTTTCATGGGGTTCTTTCAATAAATTGAGAGATTGCTCTCCTTTCTTCGAATCTTTGATTCAGATTCATAAAAATGTTCGTGCGATTTTTCCTGTGAATTTACGCTTTCGTATCAGTTTTTCACTTTCATTTTGTGCTTCGATGATCAATGTTGTCGAGAAAATAGTAGTATTGGCTAGTTGAACTGGTACAATTAAAAAAAAAAAAAAAAAAAATTAGTCCGCGAGCTTGCCTAGATTAAAGGTAAAACGATTTGTCTAGTACTCTAAACTAGAACTTGTCAAGAGAGGCCTCAAGTTCTGATGTTTGAGAGAAGAGTAGCTGAATTTAAGCTAGTGTTTCAAAACAAGAGAACAATAATTTTATGTATTTTTAGATGACAAATTAAATATAATCATAAACGTGCATTGAGTACATTCCAAAAATCCAAAAAAAAAAAATAATAATAAAGCAGTCAAGCTAGCCTTGATTTAGATATACGATTTCCTGATTCTTGAATGGAAATCAACCAATAAAAATGAATGGTTGTGGGTTTCCCGATGAATCCAATTCGAGGTCAAGAATTTCGTCCAATCAAAGTGGGTTTTTTATCCGTGGATCCCATGTGTCTGTTTTAGGCAAATAATCACGTGGCTTTTTGTTTCCACGTGGCATATATCTATCGTATAGCCAATTGCCCCTTGTTTGTTATCATTAGCTTGGTCCCCCTATCTTAAATTTTGTTCAAGCTGCAATTAGGCAATAACCAAAACAAAGCCTCTGCGACTTTATCAGTTTTAGAATTTTTTTTTTTTCTTTTCCCAAATACTTCTTTTCGTGTCCTTGAACCAGAAGACCCGACAAGACAGGCACGAATTTGTCAAGAATTCTACTGCAATAGACGCACACGGACGAAATCACTCCATCTTCATTGTGCCGGGCTAGTTCGAGCCCAACCCGCCCAAAACCCAATAAGCCGTGTGCTCCATGATACGATCAAACTAAATATGAGCTGAGCTTGGATATCACTAAACTCAAGCTCGATTAAGGCTCGACCTATTCATATGTATAATTATATATATAACATATATAATTACATATTAAATGATGTATATAGTATATAATCATACATAATATAACATCAGAATATTAATAATTTGTATACAAACTTATAATAATTTATAAATATTCATATCTTATATATAATTATATACTCCCTCCGTCCCGTTTTGTTAGTTTTGGTTTTTTTTTCACACAGATTAAGAAAGTGTAATTAATTTGGTTGGAAACATAAATTTAGATTAATAATTTCCTAAAATACCCTTATGCTAATCACGAGGAGTGCATTGGAAAAACTCAATGTATTCAATGGAGTGGGTTAGTATTTAATAACAATGTATTAATAACAAGATATTTAATAAGGATATTTTAGACAATTTGAAAGATTACTACATTCCTTAATGGGAAAGTGGACTACAATTTAGGACAGACGAAAAAGGAAAACAAGACTATTTAAGTGGGACGGAGGGAGTAG